TAAAAAATGTTTGCATAGATCCCACTAATGACTAGGACTAAGAAGTCTCGTAACTCTAGGATCCTTGTCGAAAAAGACAATCCCTCCTCAGGTGGCCAGGTTAATGACACAAATAACATGTCTTTTGACCTCCTTGAAATATCCCCTTGAATTTTTTCCCTCCTTGGGAAAACTGACTTTGACCTTGGCCTTGATAGCCCCGGCCTTACCCCTGAGAATCTTGTGGTGTAGAGGTCTTCTATTCTTTCCCGAATTTGACCTTCCTTTTTCTTGTCCTTAGCACCGGTCTCCTGGATGCCCTTAGCGTTGTCCACTTTTCTCTTAATAGTCATGGCTGTCTCGACCAGTGAGTCTAGGTCTTGTAGGAGGTGGCCCACAATCTTTCCCCGAATGGATAACTTCAAGCCGTTCTCAAATCTCCTCACCTTGGCCAAGTAGTGGCCACATAATCATCGGCAAAATGAGCTAACTCAGTGAACTTTGTCACGTATTGTATTACTGTCATCGTCCCTTGCTTTAGGCATAGAAATTCTTAGGCTTTTACTTACCAAAGAGCCAATGAAAAATACTTGTCCATAAAGAGCTCACGAAACTCTTCTCAAGTCATTGCCTCAATATTCTTTGGGACCTTTGCCCAATTCCACCATAGATGAGGCTTTTTCTCTAGTTGGAATGTTGTTAATCTTATCTGAGTGGTGTCAGATGTGATCTCCATAGCCCCCAAGATCTTTTCCACTTGTTGTGATCAATGATCGACCACCATTGGATCTGCTCCTCCCAAAAAGTTGGTGGCTTATTGTTATAAAACATATAAATTATGTATTCAACTTGAAATTTTTATGAGCTCTATTTTTAGAGGGTAGTCAGCCATTCTTTCTTCTTAGAATTTATTAAGCCCAAAAAATTTATTATTTATCCTTTTATTCTTCTGTCTCTCTTGTCATAACTTTTAGAATTTTTTTATTAGTAGCAACTGCTCTTGGCTTTGGGTATATTGTTTGATGGTGGGATCTGGGAGCTATTGTTAGTAGTATGCTCTAAGACCAATCATATAGATAATGTTTTGGGGTTGTACTAGTAACATTCATTAATTAATGAAATAAAAGGGCAAACTTATTTATCATGTTACAAGTTAATTTTTTTTTAATACACATGATATAGTCCATAGAGTATAAGTTAAGAAGAGGAGACCTATACTTCTTATTACTTAACTCTTAAATGTTCCTAGTCATAGGATTACTATGTGGGCACTATGTAATCCAGATAGACTAGCATACACTATGTTTACTCATATTTGATATGAGGTGACTCGTCCAAATTACTAGTGAAGAGACACTGAAGCAAGTGTGTGGGTGCTTATTAGAGAATAAGTACACTGAACATGACCATTGACTAACATAAGATTTTTCATATGGAGTTTTGCATACATGTCAATGTTAAATCTTAAAGTTATAGTTATCCAACTGATCCTTAGACTTGAAACACCATAGTTGTCTTGTGCATGGACTTATATGAATTAACTATACAACATATTCATATACTAACCATGTAACTTGGATATGTATTGTTGGACATAGTTAGACATGCATGGAGATTTATGAGTGTACAACATGAAATCTATCCCCTTTGGTAAATAAAGGGAGAATGTCCGATGTGATCTTCTAGGATATGACTCAAGGAGTCATTGGCTAAGACAGAACGACGATTAGAAAAATCTAATTGATCATTAGGTGTCATAGTCCTAAGATTGAGTTAGAGGTTTGACAGTAATTCAATACCCTAGTAATTCAATTGGGGCATTATGTGATAGAAGAATTGAATTGCATGGTAATTATAGACTGAATGAGTTCTTTACCTACTTCGTTCTATCCGAAGGTTGATCATGACATGCTACAAGGTGTCACTCATGATTAGTAGAAACCCAAAGAATTAAATTAATATAAATATATTAATTGTTTTTCATAAAGTGAGAATTATAAGAGTTCTAATTCAAGGTAAATTAGAAAGAGTTCTAATTTGAGATGCTACTTAGTTAATATCGAATGCTTACAACCGGGTTTACTTGAACCTATAAGGTCACACATAATAGAATTGATTGAAAATTAAAGGATAAAGGAGATACAACCAATTAAGAGTTAATTGACGTGAAAATCAAATTAAGAGTTAATTAAAGACTTTATTATAATTAATGATTAATAAAAGGGGTTATATGTAATTATGAGATATCAAACAAGGATGAAAGTCTTTAAAGCTCTATAAATACCTTCATGTAGTAAGTGGATATATGATATAATAACTCTCTTTCTAGTAGAAGAAGAATTACCCCTTATTCTTTCTCTACTAGTTTATCAATGGTTGAGGAAGATCCTTCAAGTTTATCAATTTGTTTGGATACCGATAGAGGCCAAACGTTTGCGATAAGATCAAATTTAGATATGAAGATTCAAAATTTTTGAGAAAGTTTGAAGATTGTTAAAAGTATGTTTTAAGAGGTAACCTTTAATCTTTACTATAAATCTAAAGTTTCTTGATTTATATTAAACATAACTAGATCTTGGTATAAGGAATCAAATTATTATATTTTTTAAAAATTTTGCTGTGTTTATTATATGATTCTTTTCAGTTCAGAGCTGAGAGCTGAATTTTGATTTCTTTGTATAAGTTATAGGTTCTTACTTCTAATTATGTTTTAGGCTGTAGTAAAATTATCAAAAAATTATGGATAGGTACCACATAAACTACTTATTTGTGAAAAAATACTTTACTGAAATATATTGTATCTAGATAAGTACTATTAGTTGAAAATATATTGTGTCTAGATAAAATGATAGTTTTTAAAAAAAAAATTTTTACTAAAATACCCTTTTCCATAATTTATATAGATTGTTTAGTTTGTTAGTTCTTTTTTTAATGAGATTTGTTTTATTAAATCAACGATTTACTATTTTAGAAGATCTTTATTTTTTGAATTTTAAATATATATCATCTTCTTCTACTTCAACGACTAGTGTTATACTTCAATGGATGGTGTTATAATTCAACGTCTGATTTTCGATTTCAACGTCTAGTGCTCTTCTTCTTCAACTTTTTCTTTTACTTCAACTTTTCGACTTATGGCTTCCTAACATTAGGTGAAACGAAAAACTAAAATCTTATCTCTCACCACCTTCTCTGTAAGCCCACCACGATCCAATTTTGCGAGAGTTCTCTTTGTTTTGTGCCTGATGGACTAGTTTGACCAATCCATGTCCAAATTGAATAATATATTCATTCATTGAAACAATCTCCTCTTACTCTCATTTGTATTGTTTTTTCAGATTTTTCACTTCAATGACGGTCGTTGTACTGTGTTGTTACATTGTGATGTAACACTGTCATTCCTTAAAAATGTGTTTGTTACATTTGTTATATCACACTGTGTAAAGCATACCATTTATATTGTGCATTAATCANATACTTTACTGAAATATATTGTATCTAGATAAGTACTATTAGTTGAAAATATATTGTGTCTAGATAAAATGATAGTTTTTAAAAAAAAAATTTTTACTAAAATACCCTTTTCCATAATTTATATAGATTGTTTAGTTTGTTAGTTCTTTTTTTAATGAGATTTGTTTTATTAAATCAACGATTTACTATTTTAGAAGATCTTTATTTTTTGAATTTTAAATATATATCATCTTCTTCTACTTCAACGACTAGTGTTATACTTCAATGGATGGTGTTATAATTCAACGTCTGATTTTCGATTTCAACGTCTAGTGCTCTTCTTCTTCAACTTTTTCTTTTACTTCAACTTTTCGACTTATGGCTTCCTAACATTAGGTGAAACGAAAAACTAAAATCTTATCTCTCACCACCTTCTCTGTAAGCCCACCACGATCCAATTTTGCGAGAGTTCTCTTTGTTCTGTGCCTGATGGACTAGTTTGACCAATCCATGTCCAAATTGAATAATATATTCATTCATTGAAACAATCTCCTCTTACTCTCATTTGTATTGTTTTTTTAGATTTTTCACTTCAATGACGGTCGTTGTACTGTGTTGTTACATTGTGATGTAACACTGTCATTCCTTAAAAATGTGTTTGTTACATTTGTTATATCACACTGTGTAAAGCATACCATTTATATTGTGCATTAATCAATGAATACAATTGCACATCTTTTATTAGTTATTGAAGTATTAATGAAGTTGTAACATTGTGATGTATCACTATCATATCACACCATGTTAATCAATGATGCTCCAACGTATGTACAGTCAATAAAGAGGTGAAAGATTTTATGGTTCTCAAAATTTTCGGTTGTTTGTATGTTTGATTTGGTTGAAATATCATAAATTTTATCGCATTTTTGTTTGAATTTCAAACGTCCTATTTTGCACGATAATGATGCTCAATTTCCGATTGTTTCCAAACCATGATAATGTGTCGATTAGAATTTACGCGTGGGTATATTTGACATTCGCAAATAAAAAAGACATCTCTACAAATAATTTCACCCAAAAATACTTACATAATTAAGTCCTATATTGTATACCCTGCAAAAATCCCATAAATTATCAAATTTTACAATTTTTCCCAATTATCATTTTCATAATTTCTTTAGTCATACACTATTACACATAAGGAAGATGACGAAGTTCAAACCCACAACTTTAAAGCCCATTAGGGTCAAGTGACCAGGCAAACTGTAACCTCATCATTTTTCCTAATTGACTACAATTTTTTTGTATTACAAAGTATATTTAGGCATGGCAATATCTAACTATAACCTAATCCAATCCAACAATATTTCCAGAATCCAATAGCAACATTTCTATTTGGGTAATCCCATTCCCATCAGTTCATTACAGAAAAATTAAAATCAGAATTTCTCAACCATATATCCATTGTAGAGCCAATTTCTAGTATGGCAAACCACTTTGTATGCCATGAAAAGAGATAATTCTGCGCACGGAAGAGGGTAGTAGAACAATAGTGCACATGAATCTAAGTCACGACACAAGACAACCAAATGAAGAACTTGAGAAACTATTTATGAATAGAATCAATTTTTATATGTGGACTACACTCTACATTAACACAACAATGAATTGTAACCCGACATTTGTCGAATAACCCTCAACAAAAGTCAAAACTCCCTATTCTCAACTAGTTTAAAGGGAATAGATAAAACGAGCAAGAAAAACAACGAACTTCCCCTCTTCTTGTGACGTGAAGAACCACATATAAGATTATGCCTCTCACTGTAAGTTTAAATGAAAAGCCAATTGCTTCAATATTCCTGGTGGGTTAGCAGTATAAAAGGGACTCATTTCCTTTAATTTAGTTATCTTCCTTTTCTGCATAATCTAGACTATCGTCAGAAAGAAGAACTAGAAATCTGAATGATACAAACAAACTAAGCTGGAATGAGTCATAGGAGAACGGCAGAGAGGACATTCAGGCTTTTCATTACACCACTCCATAATGCAGTTCCTAGAAATAGTGCACATTAAACCAAACAAATGAGAGAGAGAGAGAGAGAGAGAGAGAGAGAGAGAGAGTATAGCAGCAGGGAGAAAACATTGTTGGTATGTAGAGACAGTACCAGCAGAACACGTGACCACAAGGTGTCGCCGTTGGGTGTTTGCGATCACCAAGGCAAAGCGTGCATTTGGTCACCCCACTTGCTTGAAACTGGACAAAAACGACAATTCCAAGATTTCTGAGGTTGCACATTATTCAGAACAATTAAAATAAAAAGGCTGCATTCTATGATAACCATGGCAAGTAATACTTCAACATGGCAACTCAAGGCCAGTGTTTGACACATTAATCATCAGTAAAGAAAGACAACATGGGGCCGGCACATAATGAGTGCATATAAAACACAACTACCCAAGGTGGTGATCAGTATTATCTGTTTCAGTTTGATTATTAGATTTCATTTGTCAGTTACAAAACTGTTTTTTGGGTGTTGGAGCATATATCCTCACATATTGTTTGAAAGTCCACAAATAGAATATACATGTTATCAAAAGTTGAATGCTTGTAAAAACGACCATTCTCATAATTTCAACATCATTAACCAATCTGATATAGTCATCCATCACTCGTATAGCCTTGCTAAAGATGAAACATGTGAATTTCATTGCATTAAGACAAGGCCCATAAATTATACCTCTGAAGTTGATGTAGAATCAGAGACCCAACTACCCCTTTCAGATTCACCAGTTATCAAATTGCCTTCTTCATTCAGCACAGGAAAACCTCGCTCTACAAACCAAGAATAAAGGAGACAAATAACCAGTGAATAGGCAGAATAAAACAATTGGAAAGCATTAAAAGGTAAAAAATATCATGAAAGCTTCCATTTGAGATTACAGAGAAACAAAGCGGGTAGTGCATGTATTTCCATTTAAAACTTTCTTATTGCTTGAAATTGAAATATTGTCATCAGCTACTGCCAACAGTCCATTATGCTACTACCACAACGAGGTTGATATTCGAAAATACAGAATACAAAAACCTTCCAAAAAAATCTGTGAGAAAATGCTTGGGCACAAATAGAGAGGGAGCGAGCAAATCTGTTTGTTTCATTTGAAGATATTACATAAATTCAATTTCATTTGTTGACCTGCTGAAGTTTGGTGGGTCCCTAGGGACGTTTGCTGAATGGAACTTGCAATGGAAGATAAATTACTGCGCCTCAATCCTTCAGCAGCAAGGATACAAAGCTGAATTAGAAGGAACACCCCCAATATCTGATATCTGTGAAAATGAACAACTAAAATAGCTAAAATACCTTCTTAGGATCAAGATAAACATGCCTAGCTGGAGTGGGCTATCAAAATGGCTAGATTGAGTATTTCAAACACTGAAACCATTTGATTTCATGCATAATCATCACAATTGAAGCACAGTATACATGAATTAAGTAAAAGACTACAGCTAAGTAAGAAATCGTGCTCATAACCTATTTTCCACCTTTTTTTTTTTTAGGGGGGGGGGTTTGGGTTGGGAGGAGGATGTCTACTGAAACATGTTGAAGGTCCAAAATGGGAAGATTTAAACAGGTGAGGACTCCTATTGTCTTACCAAGGGAATCAGGGTAGAAATGGTGTCCATGATCATAAAAAGAGGTCAAACCTAATTTTACACCCCCCCCCCCTCCAAAAAAAAAAACAAAAACCTCCACCACCAAAGGGAAAAAAGAGGAAAACTCAAACCTATGTCCAGCACCTGCAGGAATGTAAAATTAGGTAAAGAACATATAACAAGGAGAGATTCAGAGATAGAGAGAAGTCAACTATGAACCATATGGTGGTAGTCCACTTGTCATTATCTACAGCAAGAGTCTTGGAAGTTACTGATCCTGATTGTCAGAAAATACCTAGGTCGTTGGTTTGATGGTTTTCCAATGAACACATAACGAATGCCTGCAGCACGTTTTGATATATGATAATATAAGCCTGCATGGAAGAGGTCATAGAGTGCTCATTATTTCTTTTAAACCATACTAAAAACATCCATCACAAATGTTCGATGTCCCAATAAAATCACCTTCAAAATAGAAGAACATGAGGTTACTGCGGAGAACCAACTGAAAAACCTCACGGGCTACTGGGAGCACCTGAATGAAACAGCATCTTCAAAATGTTAATCAATGAATAAAAATAACATATGTTTTCTGAAAGTGAAAAGGAAGTGACTCAGTCCTTCGAATACAAAGGAAATGGGGAAAAATTGGGTTCATTAAACAAGGAGTCCACACAAAGGTTTTTTTTTCTTTTGGGGGAACCGCCCGCCGGGGGGGGGGGGGGGGGGGATAGATTCCCAATGATTTTATCATCAATCAATTTTCTAAGACTACCATATGTAATTTTTATGGAAGAGAAACATACTAAGGGCCACCTCCGTACTGCACACATCCATAATCCACTAAATTTTGCTTTCAATCTTGATATGGGTGAAATAGATGAAACTGATCCAGAGGAAGATGGAATCTCTGTGACTGCGGATGGTTGAACTTGGCTGCTTACTGTAGCATTGTCTCCATACAGGTCATCAGATAGTGAATCATCAAGGGTGATGCCACGAGAAGCAATTCTAGAGCTGCAAGCCAGACATCAAAATTACTGCAGAATAAAAACAACCTAATATGTTTAGATAATTAAAAATGTAACGATGTAGAAAATATCCAATTCACAAAGATCAACAAAGAAGAAAATAGAACCTGACTCTTTCTGCTATGTAAGGAACTGCAGTCTGATAAACAATAAAAAGAGCACGCCTGGCAGGTGTTGGAGGCAGTCCATAGGGTCCTGCAACCTGTAAACTCAACCATTAAACAGATGATAGAGGAGCCGTATGAGGTGAGATTTTCATGTACGGTACTGTGGAGTGGTAGTAAGGGTGATTTATCTGTTAGCTTTTCCACTAGCACCTTAAAAAAACCAAACTCTGTCTTAGATAAAGTTGTCATATGGTTAACCTCTAGATTATCACTATTTATCTTGTGTATTGTACAATTCCAAGTCAGATATCATCTTTGCAGTGTCTAGGGAAAACTGTAGTAAAACTTCTATAACCACAAAGATGAAAAGGCAACTATGAGTTGAAATATGCCAACTTAGGAAGTTGTTGCAAAATTAAACACTTTGGTTTGCTAGAGCTTGGAAAATATAGGGCACCTAATTGGCATGCTTCTTCCTGAAGCTGTGTTATCGGTTACATACCATTCTCCAAACAAAGAGAACAAATCTCTCCTAGAAAGAGCCTATACATCGCCCAATCTCCAACACAAATTTGAGCTATTCTCCTTGTGTAATGCGAGAGTCCTATGCTCTGAACCCTCCCACATGTTATAACACATATATCATGCATAAAAATAGACCATGAGTCCATGACATGTAGGTATCATCGAGGTTCTCCTATGGCTTTATCTCTACAGATTCTCAAAAGATATCCTACAGTTTGTATTTACTACCTCGTGTCCTCCACCTCCTATGGCTGCCTTTATCAGGAGAAAGGCTCAAGAAGCTCCTCGAACGTGGTGCATGATCATGATGTTGGGTTCCTTAAAATTTTTATACTTTGATGGCTAGATGGAGGGCTTTGTTGAGGTGAACCAACCATGGGATACATATAGAAATTCCAATTGGTTGTCAAGAAATATCAAATGCTTCCAGACACTTGAAGAGTCATGATATTATCAATATGGCCGACATTTTCTCTGCCACTGGGCTGGCACACCCTATCCTATTAAGTTGGCAACACAATAAATTATTTCTCCTCCAGTTGGTTCAATACTCCTGCATGTGTGGATAAGCTCTCCCTCGTAACCGTTGTCTCCTAAAACAGGGAAGACAAATGACAGATTTGTAGGAAAGTTAGGCTAGGAAGCACTGACACTAACACGGGGATATGACAAAGTTCGAAAATATAGAACACGGATACAGTAAGAATACAGCTAAATATTTATGATAAGACCTAACAAATATTAATTTTTTTGATTAATATTGAAATAGATTAAAATAAATATCCACCATTTTCATCATTACATCCATTAACATTCATAGTATACAAATTACATAAGTAAAAATATATTAAAAAAATAAAAATCATACCCCTTTTAATAGTTAACAATCATTTTTTAGGAAAAAAAATAATTTCCTAGTTGTATCTTGTCAGTGTCCGATTGAGTTCACCATTCAAGACATTTTTAGCCATGTCCGACACTACCACAACACCCCTCCAAAACAGTATCTGTGCTTCCTAGAAGCTAGGTGAAGTCGGTAAATAGGGTTCTATCCATATCTCCTTTCAGGTAAGAACTCACATCCACAGGTATCATCTCTCTCTTCCTCTCCCTCTCCCTCTCCCTCTCTCTCACACACAAATTCACAAAGAAACAGCATATCTTTTGAAATGTTAGGCAAATATAAATACATTTAAGCTAAATAAAGTCCCAATACGTTAATGGTGAAGGAAGCAAAACCTATGCACCCACCTGAGTAATGTCACAATATTCTTCTCCCAGTGTTTGCTGCCCTGCACCTGTTGTTAGAACATAATAAAGCATCTGCCCTAAGAGTTTCATCTGCAAGAAAAAAGACCCCAAAATGTATCAACATGAGAAGAGAAACAAAGATGATAATTCATGGCATATAGTGGAATGTTCTAAAAATGACAGCACCATAAGAGGTACTTTGTCTCTCTCTCTCTCTTGGGAATGAACAAATGGCATCCACATTAATATTTTATCACTATTCTAGATATCACCTAGCATAGTTTACCGGGTAATTCAATTACCAAGGACAAGCACTGTGGCCAAGACAAACTTCCATGAGCATACAGTTAAGAAAATTGAGTCAATAGAGTTCATAGTACAGTGACAAAGACCAAACAGCAATCAAATCCAATTCACTAAAAAACACAGAGTAAACAATATGCCACGTTAGAAACTCTGTGTAGTAAATGTATCTCTAGATGTGATAATCCTTCCTAAATAGCTGCTGATAACCTATGATGTTCTGCACTATAAATTTTGTAACAAGCTTCGATCATTAACAATCATAAAATAGAAAATAATTTCCCACACTTCAGGAAATAAATACTTTCAGTTCAAAGTAAAAACGTCACATGCGGTGCAAACCTAAATCAGAAGCATATCAATAATGATAATACAAATCATTTAAAGTCAAAATGGGAGCTCACCTCGTTCTGATAACCTACAGCAACCCTCGTACCTGATACAAGAAGCTAAAAATTACTCATCTTTATTAATTAGTTTCGTGTATGTCTGTATATATCAGGGATATACATAGGAAATGGTGATAAATTGAAATAAAAAAGGAAGATTAAACCCTAAAAGAGTTGGGGAGAGATAAGAGAAGAAGAAGAAGAAGAAGAAGATAGAGACCGAAGAGATGGCGAAAGGCGTCCCGACATGCTTCATATACATAGGAGGCGTACTGGTCGTCCTTTTCTGCTGCTCTCATTATTTCCGGCTGAGCAGCCAGCGGGAAACGCCGTACAACACCCGTTTGCTCGGCGGTGCCACTGCCGCTGGGTCCCACCTCGTCAGCGCTAGTGGTACTATTCCCGGCATTTCCCGAGGCTGATGAGTCTCTCAGTCCCATCCCTCCCTGTCTCTCTCTCTCTCTCTCTCAGCAAAATATGCAGGACGGACTTCGAGCACTCGGAGTTTAGAAACCGAAACAAGAAGGGCATTCGATCCTCCAGAAAAATACACTTTAGAACCGGGCGAATTACACTTTGTACCTTAAAAAATTTTAAAAAAATTATTTTATATTTTTAACAATTAACTGTTTTATATTACACATTCAATACATTAAAAATTTTACAATGTGATCCTTCCGGTAGTTTCCATTTTTCATTCGGTCAACATCAATGAGATGAATTTTAATAAAATAAACAACTGAATATAACAAAATTATCACATTACAACACTTTTAATCTATTAATAATGTAAGAAAACGTCTAAAACACGGGTATAAAGATCAAGAATGATATAGTAAAACTAAACTGTTAATTTGTAGATAAATAATGGTTTAGAATTTTACTTTAGTCTTATTGATTTACAAGAATATTAATTTTAAAGATGTCAATAAATCTATTAATTTTTAAATAATACTAGAAGAATTGGGAAGAACAATGCTACGCTGACAAAATTGTTGGTCAAATTTTGTATCCCAAATTAATATAGGTGATTGGATTAGTGAGATCCACTAACTCAACCAAATATTCAATGCATGAGAATTTTGACACATCACTTAAGATATAAGATTTAGTAAAAAATTTGTACAATACAATTTTATCCTTTCAACTAGGGAACTAGAATAATAATAAAATTAAGAAATCGAATAAAATAAAATAATTTCTTAAATTAAGTTAGGAAATAAAATAAAATCTTCGAGAATTTTCTAATTAAACAATATTTTATAACGTTTAAATAAACTATCAAAATTATCCCCCTCCCTCCCCCTCCGTCCTGTATCATTCTATCTAAGTTGAAAAGAATTCACCCCCAATTTTATTTCAAATTTTTAGTCTTCGCTTTAATTTTGACCTTCGATCATTCAAAATCATAGTTATCGATCATGCTTTCACGCCATTTATAGTGACTAGATATTGCATGTGAATTATTTTTTGCAACAGTTTTGATTTTATATTTATCATATTGCTATATATGTTAATTTGTTTTGAACTGAAATATTACGGGAAATTCCCTCAAATATGGTTTTTGGAATTTATAGATCCTATTTTATAGTTTAACTTTCAAAGTTTAAAGACAATAAATGATCGAACTAATTTGGTATAATTTAATTGGAAATCCTTTGATCTCTTAAGACTATACCAACTAAGAGGTTAAGCGGTCAATTCTTGTCAACTCCAAGGTTTAATTTCTTATGTCATACTCTTTTAGGATTATCTTATGTTCTCTTTCGAATTTCTCTTTAACTCTCTGTAAATACTTTGTTCTTTTATATAGATGCATTATGCTAAACTTATAATAATGATTTATTGATGCATACTCATATTGGGTGAATACATAATTTTATTTATCAGTAATATTTTTTAATATGAAGTTATCACTTGACATATTGGTGCACGTGCATGTGGACAATTTTAATTTATAGTGGTGATGTTATTTTTATCATTATGTTTAAAAAATTAAATAAATATAGAACCACTACATAACCAAAAGGGAATATAGTCTCACCTTAAACTTTTTCAAAAAAACTCATATATTGGAAATTTTAAGAAATAATTAAAACATGTGTAATTTTTCCGCCACCAAGAACACTACAAAGGGTTGTTGGTTAGTGGCAAAGGCATATTGAATAAATGCATATTTTTTTATTTTTTTTGGATCAATATTATATTTTTGATAAAACTGAAATGATCGGCTTGTATGGTAAATAATTATTAGATTATTTGATCCTTTTGTGTTGAAATTTTTCACTATATGATAAAATTGAATTAAAATTTAGTTGTACTTAAGTGATTATGTGATTAAAATAAACTATAAATTGTTAATTATTTGATAAATTGATCAACACTTAATTATATTTTTGATTTTATTAAAAATAGATAATATTCAAAAAAATTTGTGTGGAAATCAATTAATATAGGTCATATATAAAACTAAAAAATTGACATTAACAACAACTTATTGAATGATCTTGTGAAATAAATTTATGATTTTATCCTTGTTTAGATGTCATTGTGTAATTCCCTTTTTATTTCCTCATATTATATGATAAATTGTAACTGTGTGTACAAATTTACCTAATAAGTTTTCAGATATCTACATATATAGCTTATGATTCATATGTGTGCAAATTCAGGTAACATACATTCTTCAGAAACCTGTTGTGGCAAAATTCTACAGAGAACATACTTGGTAAGAGTTCATGATCATTGGTTGCATGAGTCACGGTGATACAAACTTTGCAAGAGAAAAATTTGATAAAATTACCACAAAATATATAGTATTTTTATAATAGAACACAAGATAATAGGATAATCCAATAAATCATTAAAATACGCCTTCAAATATAGATTTGATTGCAAATACAACCATGATCAAGAGTGAGATGTAGCTTTAAGTTTCATATAAATCGATAGTCAAAAGTCGTAAATGTTTTAGTTACAAATGCTTGTTTCTTCTACAACATTTATATGATTGAATAATTTTTGGGAGTTGGAAGAGACAAAAATTAACTCAAACTTATATTTGAGCAATTCTCTAGGGCTAACTTATCTCTAGTTAAAGAAATTTAATTCTAGATTCATTGTTAGATTTATCTAAATATATAAGATATTAGTAACTGATGAAAAGTTCAAAAGTCGGGTTTTTAAGGTGCTTATGTCCTTATAAATTTCACAAGTCATTGTTATAATTTGGCATTTACTCTCAAGAATTTTTAGGATTTGTTTGCATGCACTATTTCTATAACCTGTAAGGTCTACAAGTTAAATAAGTTACAACACCGATTACACCAAAAAAAAAAATATTTTTATATTATGAATCCATCAAAAAAGAGAAATTAGTTAGAGTAATCTTTGATTCAAGGATAATATGGACTCTATATTACTGTTAAATCAAAGTTACATAATTACAATATGGCCTTTATTAAATTGTATTGAGGTAAAATTACAATAAATGTCTACATATATTTATTTAAGCATCAAATAAAAATCCAAAATTATTTTACATTTAGATCAAATTATTAGTGTGGGGTATAATTGTTCTTATAATTTTGTTTAAGGGTATAAGAGAAATTTAACAAAATTTCATTAAAATACTTTTATTAGTAGTATAGATGTGTAATGACAAACCCCATCTAATCATTTGGAAACTTCAAAATGATAAACACATATTGTTTTGTACCTAGCAAATAACCAAACGTAGCACTTACGCCGGATGCTTGACTGGAAGACAAATTTTCCACATAAGTCAACTTATTGTTATAGCCATGTTGATTGGAATGCTTAAAAGAAAACCCTTGTATTGCTTCATCAATACAACAGTGAACATCAGCCATCATGATGTCATTTATGTCAAAAATAACGTCGTCAACATTCGGTTATCCATCATATATTGAAAAATCACAACCATCCTTGTTAATGATTAGAGAATAATTGTTCAGATATTCATCAAATTTTGAGATATCAAAATCATTTTGGGCACCAATTAAAAAGTCATCTTTGAAAGAGTCATCAAATATTGGGAATAAAAATCCCAATCAATTTTCAAATTGTGAAGCAGAAGAATAGGCATAAAAAAAATACCCAGTTTGACTCCAAATCGAAAACATACAAATATGGACCACAAAAATAAAATCTATGGATTCAGATTTTTTAAATTTAGATTCGAATAAATTAAAATTCGATTCAAATCCGATCCGTTGACAGATCTACCTAAAACTACTAGTCGTAAAATTAGAAATAAATAGGTTTATTCTTTCTTCATTTGAATCACAATTCTAATCCAAACTCAAAGGTAGATAGATAATTTGTTCGAAGAATCTAAGAATTCAATTTTTTTTTAATTTGATTAACAAGTTGTAAGGGAAAACAAAAAAGAATCAGGGAAGAAGGAAATATATTTTTTTTATTGAATGCATTCGTTTAGTTCGACTTCTTCGCTTTATCATATTTGACCATATTTATTTATACTCTATGAGAGCTCATTCTTTGAGAAATTCCGTTTAAATTACTCCCATGAATTCCTTGCAGTCTACTTCTCTTATGATGCCATTAAAAATTAGGTTATGCTGTTGAATACAAAGGATGACAAAGCGTGTTATTGTTATTTCAATTGTAATATTTAAACTATAGGAGATATTAATATAATTTTTTATTTTTTCAAAATTTGAAAATGAAAATATGTAAGACAAGACAAAACATGCCAGGGATTAAATGTTGGGCAACAGACGAAATACTCACCACTAAGATACAAGGCCTTTTATGCTCCATTTGATATGATGGAAAAATAAAAAAAAATAAAAAGTTGGAAGGATGGAAAGTTAGAAGGATAAATAAAATATTATGTTTGGTAAGGAAGGAAAATAGAAAGGATGAAAAAATAGATGCATTAACTTTTTTTCCAACTCACCAAAATCAATTCCTCCAAAATCGGAAGGAAAGTGGATGAAAAATTAAATATTTGTGTTAAGATGTATCTATATAATAAAATACCTAGGAGTTTGAATTTTTATCTCACACATATTTTTTCCCCCAAAACCATCTCATCACCAAATTCTATCACATGTTTAATCATTTAATATTTGATTAATTTGTAATTTAACATAATTGTTGTCCATACACGATAATGTACACGTGTTGAAAAACTTTTGTCATATTATACATTTTGAAAAAATTTTGATGTTATTTTAAAAAAAATAATAGATAGAAAATTTTTCATCTTAGATAGGGTTAAAATTTTCAACTCAATACGGTAACACGATTTAAACTCGACACGAATTTTGTAACACAAACTTGATTATAACTTGACACGAATTTGATTAAATTTTTTATTCAAAGTTTATGTGGTTTAACACGAATACGAACACACACACGACACGAAAATAAACAGGTCAACTCGCAACTCGATACGACACAATTAGTTAAATGAGTTGAGTTAGGTTTGACTAATGTTCGACATAAACTAATAATGACTCAACA